TTGCAGAAAATAACTTCTAGGGCCTACCTGATCTCAAACCTATCACAGGGAAGATCTATCCTGGTGGCTAGGGGAAAAGGAATGGCAAACTACAGAGATTCCAGGGAAAGTGCATTCAAAAGGAAGAGAATACAGCAGGTCTTTAGGAGCAGGAGCCCTGTGATTCCTGTTGCCTGGTATCCAAACAACTCATTTATCACTGACTTCACTCAATGGTTAAAACATCTGAGAAACAGGAGCAGCCAGATTGGCTTATTTCACAGAAATTGCTACAAATACCTGCACATTTTGCTTTATAAATTTCTTTCTTGGCCTGCTAGACACTTTTTAAAAAAATTAAATGAAAGTTTATAGTCTAGGGCCTCTGGCTAGAGCACCAGTGAAGGCCTTTGTGGGTAGCAGGTTGACAGTTCCCAATCTAAATGGACTGCTGATCTGATCCAGTAAAATCAATTGATATGTTTTGTTTGTCACCTGTCAATGCATTGATAACTAAATAACTAAATAAAGAATGCACAGAATACTGAGCAAATGTATGCTTGCTTCCCCTAAAAGCAGGGGCACTGCTAAGTACTTAAAGGATTCAGAAATAGGCTTACCCACCATCGGCTGGGTGAGGACTGCAGGGCCTGCTCCCTTCCAGGGCCTTCTCCAACTGGCCCAGGGGGCGTGGCCCAGGCCCTCTCTCCCAGCTATAAAGGGACTCCTGCAGCGGGGAAGCCTCGGACCATCGGCTGGGTGAGGACTGCAGGGCCTGCTCCCTTCCAGGGCCTTTTCCAACTGGCCCAGGGGGCGTGGCCCAGGCCATCTCTCCCAGCTATAAAGGGACTCCTGCTGCGGTGAGGCCTCGGACCATCGGCTGGGTGAGGACTGCAGGGCCTGCTCCCTTCCAGGGCCTTTTCCAACTGGCCCAGGGGGCGTGGCCCAGGCCATCTCTCCCAGCTATAAAGGGACTCCTGCTGCGGTGAGGCCTCGGACCATCGGCTGGGTGAGGACTGCAGGGCCTGCTCCCTTCCAGGGCCTTTTCCAACTGGCCCAGGGGGCGTGGCCCAGGCCATCTCTCCCAGCTATAAAGGGACTCCTGCTGCGGTGAGGCCTCGGACCATCGGCTGGGTGAGGACTGCAGGGCCTGCTCCTTCCAGGGCCTTCTCCAACTGGCCCAGGGGGCGTGGCCCAGGCCCTCTCTCCCAGCTATAAAGGGACTCCAGCAGCGGGGAAGTTTTGGACCATCGGCTGGGTGAGGACTGCAGGGCCTGCTCCCTTCCAGGGCCTTCTCCAACTGGCCCAGGCCCTTATTTGGAACAAACTGTTGGGGAAGTGTGGGAAGTGTTCTGCCATTGCTTCCCTGTTCCAGGTGGCTAATGTACTTTAAAATGTCCTCAAGCAGTCGGTGGCAATTTAAATTTTTATTCCTTTTTTCCCTTTTTTCCTTTGCTGGGGGTGGGTGGGTGGGATTGTTGGTTGGGGATTAATTTTAGTATAACTGTTGTGTTCCTTTTTGTTGTTGTTGTTTTATTGGTTCTGTATAGTTTGTGTTTTGTTTTTAAGGGGCGGGATCAGGGCTGCCTGGGAGTGGCTCCCCAGCCAACACGATGGCTGGGACAAGTTCCACAGGGGGGGAAGCACTGGGACATTCGATCTCGGTGATCATGGGCAGGAGGCGGAGTTACGCTAAGACCAGACCATGTCATTACCGAGGAGGCAGGTTTAGTCGTTGTTTGAAGACTATCCCTGCCTCCGGGTCTGGCCTTGACCGGATGGATACTGGAATCAGCAAGGGATACCCACATGACCTGAAAGTGTTGCTGTGCAATGCCAGGTCAATGATGAATAAAACCACTGCCATCCACGACCTGATTGTGGATGGAGGATTTGACCTGGCATGTGTGACAGAGACCTGGTTGGAGGAAGCAGATGGGCCTGTCCTTGCCGCTGCTTGCCCACCAGGTTTCTCTTACGCACAGCAACCCAGGTCATGTGGGCGGGGAGGGGGGGTTGCAGTGATTTTTAGGAAGTCACTAGCTTGCACCGGGCGTCCTACTGGGAAGATCCAGTTTTCTGAGTGCATGTTCTGGAAGTTGGGCAATAGGGGCAGTACAGGATTCCTTTTGGTGTACCGACCTCCCCGCTGCACCAAGGATTCCCTGTCCGAGCTGCTTCAGGTCGTGTCGGATTTTCTCCTGGAGACACCTAGTTTGGTTGTCCTAGGGGATTTTAACATCCATGCCGACACGACCTTACAAGGGGCCGCTCGGGACTTCGTGGAAAGCATGGCCTCCATGGGGCTGTCCCTGAATAAGTTTGGCCCAACTCATAGTCATGGACATGCCTTAGACCTGGTGTTCACCTCTAGTGACGTGGGTGATCTGACACTAAGTAAAAGTGAAACAAAAGAAGTGCCATGGTCAGATCACTTCCTGGTGCAACTGGACTTCTCCGCGACCCTTCCCCTCTGCAGGGAGGTAGGACCAATTCGGATGGTCCGCCCCCGCCACTTAATGGATCCAAATGGTTTCCAGAGAGTGGTAGGGGATGCTTTATCCCATGTTGATGGCCTTTCAGCTGATTCCCTGGTGGCCCGCTGGAATGCGGAGTTAACCAGGGCTATCGACTGTCTGGCTCCGAAGCGCCCTCTCCGATTGCATGGAGCCCGGACAGCCCCGTGGTTTTCTTCGGAGCTGAGGGCGATGAAACAATCGCTGAGACGGCTAGAGCGTCGGTGGCAGAAAACTCACTCCGAATCTGACCGGACACAGGTTAGAGCTCAACGTCGAGCCTACCAAGTGGCGATAGCGACGGCGAAGAAGACTTTCTTCACCGCCTCTATTGCATCTGCAGAAAATAGTAGCAGGAGACTCTTTCAGGTGATTCGCAATTTAACGGAACCACCTTTACCACCGGGGCCTTGTAAAGACCCCAAGATCTCCTGCAACGATTTTGCAAAGTTTTTTGCAGATAAAATCACTCATATTCGGAAGGAGCTAGACACCACCGTGGGAGCAGGGCTGGGGCGGGAGAGTGCTGGAGCTCTGTCTGGTCAAGTTGCATGGAATCAATTTCAATCCGTTACCCCCGAGGATGTGGACAGGCTGCTTGGACGCGTGAAACCAACCACCTGTCTCCTTGAACCTTGCCCATCCTGGCTAATAAAAGCAAGCCGGGAAGGGCTGGGCGATGGGCTCTGCGGGGTGGTGAATGCTTCCCTCTGTGAGGGAACATTCCCAGATCCGCTGAAAGAGGCGGTCGTTAAACCGCTTCTTAAAAAACCATCTTTAGACCCGGCCAGTATGGCCAACTATCGCCCAGTCTCAAATCTTCCATTCTTGGGCAAGGTGATTGAGCGCGTGGTTGCTGAACAACTCCAGGCACGCCTGGAGGATGCGGACCATTTGGATCCCTTCCAATCGGGATTCAGGCCTCACCATGGGACTGAAACTGCCTTGGTCGCGCTGGTTGATGATCTCCGGCGAGCTAGGGACAAAGGTGAGAGTTGTTTCCTAGTTCTGCTGGATCTCTCAGCGGCCTTTGATACAATCGACCATAACATCCTTCTGGACCGCCTAGAGGGGCTGGGAGCTGGGGGCACTGTCATACAGTGGTTCCGCTCCTTCCTCCTGGGCCGTGTTCAGAAAGTGGTGGTGGGGGATGAGTGTTCAGACCCCTGGGCCCTCACTTGTGGGGTGCCTCAGGGTTCTGTCCTCTCCCCCATGCTTTTTAACATCTATATGAAGCCGCTGGGAGAGATCATCAGGGGGTTTGGACTGGGTGTTCATCAATATGCAGATGATACCCAGCTCTACCTCTCTTTTAAATCAGAACCAGTGAAGGCAGTGAAGGTCCTGTGTGAGTGCCTGGAGGCGGTTGGAGGATGGATGGTGGCTAATGGATTGAGGTTGAATCCTGACAAGACAGAAGTACTGTTTTTGGGAGACAGGGGGCGGGCTCGTGTGGGACTCCCTGGTCCTGAATGGGGTAACTGTGCCCCTGAAGGACCAGGTGCGCAGCCTGGGAGTCATTTTGGACTCACAGCTGTCCATGGAGGCGCAGGTCAATTCTGTATCCAGGGCAGCTGTCTACCAACTCCACCTGGTACGCAGGCTGAGACCCTACCTGCCCGCGGACTGTCTCGCCAGAGTGGTGCATGCTCTAGTTATCTCCCGCTTGGACTACTGCAATGCGCTCTACATGGGGCTACCTTTGAAGGTGACTCGGAAACTACAACTAATCCAGAATGCGGCAGCTAGACTGGTGACTGGGGGCGGCCGCCGAGACCACATAACACCGGTCTTGAAAGACCTACATTGGCTCCCAGTACGTTTCCGAGCACAATTCAAAGTGCTGGTGTTGACCTTTAAAGCCCTAAACGGCCTCGGCCCAGTATACCTGAAGGAGCGTCTCCACCCCCATCGTTCTGCCCGGACGCTGAGGTCCAGCACCGAGGGCCTTCTGGCGGTTCCCTCATTGCGAGAAGCCAAGTTACAGGGAACCAGGCAGAGGGCCTTCTCGGTAGTGGCGCCCGCCCTGTGGAACGCCCTCCCATCAGATGTCAAAGCGATAAATAACTTCCATGACATTCAGAAGGCATCTTAAGGCAGCCCTGTTCAGGGAAGTTTTTAATCTGTGATATTTTACTGTATCTTTGGTTTTTATGGAAGCCGCCCAGAGTGGCTGGGGAAACCCAGCCAGATGGGCGGGGTACAAATAATAAATTATTATTATTATTATTATTACAACACAAATTTGCAAGTTAAGATAGTGGATGGCTGGGATCTTACGGGTACTGCACTTTGCATTGAGCCTAGCTGCCATGTAAACAAAGTAAAAAAATAAAAAGGTAGAAAAGGGCAGGAATCCTGAGGCCTGCCACATACAACAGTGCCCCTGCTTAATAGATAAAGTGGTTTACTTGTGCAAATTATTTTACTGCAATGGGTTGGTACAGCTTGTTTTCCAAATTACAAATCTATATTAATTCACTCATTTTTTGAATTAAATTTCAGCGTTGTGTGGTACTACGTTTTTTGAAGTTTCCTCCAAATCGAGACAAGGTGAGACCATTATCATTTGTTATTCCCTTTTATCCTTCTTGTTTCCCACCAAAGAAATTTCAGCTTCTATTTAAAAAGGAGAATTAATTTTCATTCCCACTTTCTGTGAGCTCAAGGAGGCCTCAGCATTATTTTTTTAAAAAACCAACAGCAGCTTGATTAAAACATTATCAGAGATCTGAGGATTTGCAATCCTTTGATTAGCTGGGCTTTTAACCAATTAGTAGATTGAGATATTGCCAGATCTTGATAAACGAGCTTTTGATGATCTTCAATGAAAAGCACTGTAGAATAGTAACTATTCATATGAATTATTTCATTGTAATAAGCAAAAATGGCTCCAGTAGAAGAAACAAAGTCAATGCATATTAGTATTGCAGAAGACTTGGGATTTTAGAACACAGTTTGATAATCGGTTAGATCCCCCTGTGGAGAAGTGTCTTTGCTAACCGGATTTTGAAAATCAGGTTTTGCATATGGGAGCAGTAGTAGAAAAACTTGCTGCTTATAATGGCTTGATTCTCATGTCACATTAACCCATAGTGTAAAAATATGGTTTGATATGAACATGCAGCATGCTGTTCTATGTTGTAAACCTCCCTATGATCTTTGGATGAGGGGTGGTATATAAATTTAATAAATAATAATAAATAATGCTTGAGTACACTGCTAAAAAGCCGTCATTGTGCCTTTCTCCCACTTCTGCTATTGCCACTCCACAGGGACACAAGCCAGTATATTGCTTGTCGTGACAAAGGCCTGGCTGAAGGCCTGGCCCGGCTGCAGCTTGCCCCTCTTTAGCTGCAGGAGCTCAGCCACATGGCATTGATGAGCGGGCCTGTAGTGAGGACACCTGGTTGCGCCCCTTCATAATTTTGTGCCCGGAGCAATTGCCCCTATGGCCTTGCCACGCCACTGCTTACAGCAAGAAGATTTAAGCAAAGTGCCACTTGTATTTAAATTCATTTCTGACTAATATGACATGGGAACCAGACCATTTTGTTTGGTAGCTTATGGTGGGTGTTGTGGACTTTGCAAATTTAAAGTACAGTGGTAGCTCGGGTTACATACGCTTCAGGTTACAGACTCCGCTAACCCAGAAATAGTACCTTGGGTTAAGAACTTTACTTCAGGATGAGAACAGAAATCGCACAGTGGCGGTGTGGCGGCAGCAGCGGGAGGCCCCATTAGCTAAAGTGGTGCTTCAGGTTAAGAATAGTTTCAGGTTAAGAACGGACCTCCGGAACGAATTAAGTTCTTAACCCGAGGTACCACTGTAATCTTTTTCAGAGGTTGTTTCTAAGTGGATTTAACTGTTATCTAGTAATGCTGCATAATCTGTGTTTCAACAGCAATTTGTAATTTGTTTTTTAGACACCAGAAGAAATCTTTCAACATCTTCAGAACATAGTATACTTTGGCAAACACATAATGAAGCAGTTTTTTGGGGAGAAGTATGTTCACCATGGGGTAACTATTATTTCTTGTTTCATTAAGTGTTTTTCCTACTGTTGTGTTTTTGTTAACATCTGTAGCCAAGCTGGTTGGTTTGGTTTTTGTATGAAGGAACATTGCATTAAATCTCCATATTTAACCTGCTTTTAGATTGCTCATATAGAACATAGAGCAGTGGACATAATGTCTATTACGTATCTCTAGGATTAGTTGTGCTCGCCTTTGCAGCATAGACTGAGCTGTAGAGTAGCAACAGGAGTGTGTGTGGGTTTCCTGCGACTCTATTGAATGTTCAATCTTAATTCTGCTACTGAAATTTTAAAATACCCTAATTCTGATAGATTATCCTTCATTTGAGTGAGGAATGCAGTAAATATTTACTCCTTTTTTTAAAAAAAGGTCTTAAAATGTTTATGTGAAAAGAATCTCTGAAGAAAAATGTAACTTGTATACTACTTCCATATGAAAATGTAAACTGTTGCATATGAAAGACTCCCAAAGCTCTATATTTGAAGGAAAAGAGGACCCACCCCCCCGATTAGCATGATGCTACCTTTATATCAGGCTACTGTTTCTTCCAAGGAGAACTATTCTCTGATGTGTATGTTCTTAATGTCTTTAATTTTTTTTGTATTGTCTGATTCCCTGGGCTCCTTTTATAAAAAAGGGCAGGATGAATGGATAGTTACAAAGCTGACCTATCAGAAAAACTACCCTACTCTTACAGGGCCATTTTCTGTGCTTCAGTATCAATTGATCAAAAAATAAAAAACTGTTCTGGTTGATTGCTGCTTAGATATAAAAGAGAAAATACTACTTAAATATTTAAATATACTACTTAAATATTAAATATTCAGCAATAATCTGAATATTCCTAAGAAGTGAATATTGCTTAAGATCGGAGTCTCCTTTGAGTTCAGTGGAAAGCCTAATCAGCCTTGTCTCTTCAAGGAAAGGTGATGGAGCGCTGGGGACTTTCCACTTAATTTATTCTCCTGAATTCCAGCTGGACTGTTTAATGCTAATGATTAATGACTTAAGGGCTGTTTGCTTCTAACTGGTAAACTTAAAATGTGAAGACATTTTTTCAGTCACTGCTGTGGCTACAGAAGTGCTTAGGAGAGGGAAAAGATGTAATCATGCTTAGCACATAGTGATAAGTGGGACAAACTGTTAATGTAAATATGAGTACTTCTTACTAGGAATGTGACATAACTTGAACACCGGCTTTTCCCATTTGTCACAATTATGGTTTTATAAGAAGAGTTGGGCAAGATTGCCAGACAAAACTATTTTTCCCCACTATAGGAATGTCATGTAAATTTTTGTCTTTTTTTATTCCACCTTTCCACCTAAAGGATCCACCTAAAGTGACTCTCTTTCAAGTCAGTGCTCTTTCACTTTGTTGCAAATGTGCAATTCATTGTGTAAAATAATGTTTCCTTTTTTCTTTAGGAAGTTGTGCAGCTGTCTTTGGACTTTCTGAAACAGCTTTGTTTAAAGATCCAGTCAGAGAGGCCAGGTAAGGAATTAAAATAATGGCATGACTGCTTGCACAAAATATGGAATGTGCCTTATCTGAAATCTGCTTTTAAAAAAATACAGAATTGCAAAATGTGTCACACACGTTCAACAGTATTGGAAATGCTTTCTTGGTTGCCTGAGAGAATTGAATTGCCTCCCAAGTGAGCAGGCAAGAGAGCCATGTGTGCACCCTCTGCAATTTTGGGGTTGGTGTGTGAGTTTTTACTTTTCCCATTTCCTGAAAGGCAAAAGGGGCTGTTATGTGTCCTTATTTCTGGAGGCAGAGTATAGGGGTTGCTTTTCTGAACACCCTCCCTCCTTGGAGACAGAGAAACATCTTTGTGCACTGCTCCGGAATGGAGCACCGGAATTCTGAAGACTACTGCTGACTGTGAGGATGAGGAGAAAATGTCACATGCTGCCTCCAAAAGTGAGACATATTCTGGCTTGATCGATTCCTCCAGTTATTTTTTTGCAAGTATGTGAGCTCTTTGTTTTCATTTGAGTCTTTCTTATGCACCTGGGGCATAAATGAAATTTGGATGGATTCTGCCCACCTGATTCTCATATTATCTACTAGTTTCATCTTGTCCAAGGATTTTTGTTAGGGGGCAAAACAGTTGCCCCCCCCGAATAACCCTACAAAAATGATTTTTTCCCCTTTGTCTGTGAAATTAATAAAGGTAGGTGCTTCCCTCAATTACCTCTGTCTACATATGCATCTAAGTTAAGCATAACCTGAATAATTCCCTGTATGCATTGCCTCTCTCCATCCATACCTCCCATGGAATGTTTGTGGAGTTGAGTTTCTGTTTGGTAGCAGGTGTGATCATCTGTTTAACTTGCTGTTAAATTGGGCACTAGTACTTTACTAAAAGTATGGTGTATGTTTGCATTTGAATCGAACTGTTTGGCAGTGAAGCTTGTGCTGGTTAATAGTTTAAGGTGGTGTTTCTGAAAAGTTAGCCAGGCCCATGCAAACATGTTATGTCACCAAGATGATAAAGAATATAATCCCTCTTTCAAAATAAACTTGCCCTAAAATAAACTTGTCCTCATTAGGGATAAAAAATAGTACAATGGCCTATTGTTTTGGTAAAGCTGCTGCATTTGTATTTGGATGCAAAATGATACACAACCCGAGGCCTTGCTAAGAGGGAGAAAATTTGCTTAATATTTGAATGGTGGGTCACTTAGTCCTGGTGAAATTCCAGTTCCTGTGATTAATGGAGCCTAATTTATTTGTGCATATAATCCTGGTGGATGAATTATTCACTTCTCTTCTTAGATCTAACAATATTGTGCAGTGTTGCTGGCTCAGATAAATTCCGTTCTAGGTGTCACACCTGTTGAGTTAGCCATTTTCTGCAGCATGGTGCAGATTCTTCTGTCAGGTAAATTTACAGGCTTGCATTTCTCAAGCAGCTACTTCACAACCAGTGCATAAAATGACAGTGGTTTTTCTGTAAAGGTTTCAAAGATGTGCTGGTATTCATGCATATAGTTTCGGCAAACCAAATTCTCTAACTTTGGGAAACATTTGCAAAAGGAAAGTTAAAACTATGCATGTCAAATGTTATAAAACACTCTGGCTAGAAAATAGTTTATGCTCTATTTATAACTGCACTTGACTGAACTTTTCCCTGGCATTTATGTTGCTTTGGAGAAGGGACACAAAACAAAGTTATTGACCTCTTGTAGTAAACTTCATGGAGGCTTTTGACAGAATAATGTTGCCTGCAATTTTATTCTACCCTTCCTTCCTCCAAAGAACTCAGAGCAGCACTTGTAGCCTCAACAATTACTCTGAGGTAGGTTAAAGCTGTTTGTGCCTCATAGTCAGCAGGGACTTAATGTGGGTTTCTCATGTTGAAGCCCAGAAGCTTAGCCATGGTACCACATTGATTCTTTGGTCAGTTTAAAAGATTTGCTGAACTACCTCTGGCCTTACTGTCCTGTAGTTAATGTACAGTGGTACCTCGGGTTAAGTACTTAATTCGTTTCGGAGGTCTGTTCTTAACCTGAAGCTGTTCTTAACCTGAAGCACCACTTTAGCTAATGGGGCCTCCTGCTGCTGTGCCACTGGAGCACGATTTCTGTTCTCACCCTGAAGCAAAGTTCTTAACCTGAAGCACTATTTCTGGGATAGCGGAGTGTGTAACCTGAAGCGTATGTAACCTGAAGCATATGTAACCCGAGGTACCACTGTAGTTCTTTCTAAGTAGTAGTTGCTTTTGCAGTGTCTTGTACAAAGATGTTAATAGATTATGCTTTTACTCTAAAGATTGTATATAATTCTGGACTTCAAAGAGATCTTTCTGTGTTTATGGAAAATTTTACAAAATAGTTTCCAGTTGTGCGAATAACTTAATGGCAGTCCTGTTTTATTAGTGCGTAGCTGGTAAAAATCAGAACCTCTTAGATGTTGTATGATGCAAGCATTTGTAGTAAGTGTAATCACACAAGCTAAGTGCTTTGAAAATGCAGGGTTTGCTGGACCACTTAAGCAATGGAACCATGCCTCAAGATTGTTGGTCCTGCTTCACACATATGACTTCCTCTCTGGAATAAATCCACAAAATACAGTTTGTCCTTGCATTTGAAGTGTCCTGCTAGCCTACTGTGGCTGTCAAGTTGTCTGTGCACAACAGCATTGATGCTACATCATGCTTGATGTAGCAGTTCTTTTTGCCTGAATGACTGTGGCACCTTGTGTCTCCCACTACATGTTTATGGGGTCTGCCTTTCTTGCACTTACTTCAGGAGACATGAGTAAAGAGTGATACTTAATTTTGCTTCTGAAGAAGATAGGATTGGGAGAGAATGGCCTTTTCTAAAAGTATTTTTGATGCCTGCTAGAGGGGTGGACTGTAATGAATTAAAGAGGCAGGTTGTTTGGGTGAAATGCAAAGTGTTCTTGCTCTTATGTAGGTGAAAACATGCTTGGAGATCCCTTTTACTCAAATTTTTGAATGTTTGGCTTGACTGTGCTGGTTCACAAAAGCCACATCAAAGGTGTTTTCTGCTTAAACTCCCAAACATTTGGTGTAGTTCTTCTATTGGTCGGTTTTATTACACTTACAGGGGCACTTCCTTTGAAGTCCCAGAGTAGCTTACACTTGGGCTCTAAGGCAGCTTCACATCCAAGTACTGACTAGACTTTTAAGGCACGCTTATGTTAAGCAGTGGAACAACATTGTTTGATTTCAGTATATTCACGAAGGTAAATGAAGCAGGAGTATCTCCTGCATGCAGGCGAAGCAGTGTAATGTGGGTTCCTGTCTGTTTTCTTTTTACTTATTGCATTTCATGATGGATACAGATGCGGGAGAGACAATTTCTGGAAAAATCTTCTACAGTGTAATGTAAGACAACATTTCCTCTTAAAGGTGGCAAACTGATGGCTGTGAGTTTATTTGTATTGCCCATAACACTTCAGCACTGAACATGGATGCAAACAGTTATTTCTTTTTATCCACAGAGTCTCGCTGTGATAAAGACATGGATGCTCTTAGTGGTTATGCTATGTGCCTTCCTAACCTTACTAGGCTACATGTTGTTGAACATCGACCAATACTTTGTGTAGAGATTAAGGTGAGTCTGTCAGGATTTTAAAAGCAAAAAAATAATAATAACCCCTCAACTTTGAACAGCCCCATTCGCCTGGCAGCTGGTCTGTCAAGAAAAATGTGTCTCATTTTAAATTATTGGAGCCAAGGCCTGTTCTTGTATACTCACTTTGTGTTTAGTAATAATTAGTTGCTGAGAGTATGAGCCCCTGTTTCTTTGGTGTTGCCACCCCTTCAACTCCCTGTGGAGCTATTTTGCTGGAAATTATGGGCCCCAAAGTACTGTGAATGTGAACAGTCTGAATTCTGTGTCACCATTAGAGGTACGGTGAAGAGGTGATTTGATATAATAGGTGAAACATTTTATGCCAGCCAGTTGTTTAACTTTGTATAAACATTTGAACCTGTACAATTAGAAGCTTAGAGCAAAAATAATAATAATAAATAATACAGACTGTTTTCCCTCATGCTGAGAGTTGCTCTTATCACAAAGGAGATAGGGACAGACAACAGGACTACAGAGAATGATTTTGTATTTCTATGTGATAATGAAAAAGACATGTATAAATGACCTCTTCTCATATGTTAATTTTTTGGCATTTATGCAAAGTTAAATTATTTACAAACCTGAAAACTGAACAGTTATGCTCAGTTACGAGTTATGCATTGGATTGGTTAAATGTTAGTTTAATTGAGATGTTTTACAAGTATTGAGGGAGATACTGCTTTGGGATGTATCAGAAATCATTAAGGTAGCCCTTCTCTATATTAATCACAGAGCATGAAGAGAGATAATCCTGATGCTCACATGTATCTGGGGTGGTGTGAATATATACACTTATTTATGGAGAAAGGCTAGATCCAGAGAGAAAGACACTTCAAATGTCATTTTAGACCCCCTCGCCCAAATAGTGCCTTCTAAATACAAAGTGTGCTAATAATTTTAATTTATTCTTGCAGCCCAAATGTGGCTTCCTCCCTTTCTCCAGTCATGTTTCACAGGAGATAAAGCACAAAGTATGTCGTTACTGCATGCATCAACATCTAAAGGTAATGTCTTATCTACAAGATATTCCCCCCCCCTTTGGTTAGTAAAATGATAGAACTAACATTCCATCTTGGGCACAGTCCACCAAGCAAGAACTATTGAAATTGTGCCTATTGCTTGCTTTACTGAAACATATTTTAAGGAGATTAGTACTTGCATATAATTTTGTTTTCTCTAAGGAATAAATAAAGTACCATTCTTAGTTGAGCATTTTTGGGTGTAATTTGTAATTGAGAACTGGGATACCTCAGAGCATGAGACTCTTAATCTCAGGGTTGTGGGTTCAAGTCCCATGTTGGGTGAAAGAATCCTGCATTGCACTGGGTTGGACTAGATTACCCTTGTGGCATCTTCCAACTCTACACTTCTATGATTCTGTGAATGCCTTTATGATAAAAAAATATGAAAAAACTCATTTAACCCACTGTGTCTTCATCAAAAAGCATTAGTGTAACTTCTTATGTTCCTTGACATATTGTTTTCATTGAGAAACATATAGATTTATGTGGAAGAGAATTTCCACATCACCATAGACCTTTCTGCACTTGCAAAAATGCTCTACATTACAGTGAAACTAGAGACGAAATGCTTTTGTTAGAGAAAACAAAAGACAAGTAACTGCTAGCTGATCAAATCTTAACATTTAACAGGTGATGTTATATGACAAATAACATGTGGACACCACTGAAGTTTAAATTGCATGAGCTACTTGTATATTTGAGATCCTAAAGGTTCTACGGGTGTAATGCTTGTTGCAGATGTTTTCTAGAAAATGTGAATACATAGTTGGGATCTCCCCCTGTACTCATAAATAATGTGTTTTAACAGGTAGCAAAAGGAAAGTGGAAACGGCAAAGTAAATATTGTCCTCTGGATCTCTTCTCAGGGTGAGAGCTGTTACGTTTTTATGAATGCTTTGTGTTAGGTTTGTATCACTACCATTAATACTACTTATTTACTGTTACTTTATTTATTTTAAACTTTCTGTATTGCTTTGTATTTTTAATAAAAATCTTTTCAATTTTGTGTAGGGTCAGGTGCTATAGGTGCTGAATGAAAGGCAAGGACAGTATTCCTAGCTTGAGAATCTTCTCTGTTAGAGAAAAAAGGGTGGGTTCTGGTGGAGATATCAAAGGGGCAAGTAATGTGGCAATGGCAGTTACGGGCAAGTGTAAATGTGGCTTCAGAAAGACCTTGCTGAAGAAGGAGGTCTTGAAGATGATGCCCAAGCATTAGAGGCAGGTTTCTTGAGAATAAAGGTTAGGAAGGAAATATTGAGTACAGATTAGAGGCAGCAAGAATGTTTTAGTGTTTGCCTGGTCACATTTCTTCATTTAAATAGTCCAATGTGGTTTTCCTTTTAGAAATAAACAGCGAATGCACTTTGCCTTGAGAAGTCTGCTACAGGAAGCACAGAATAACTTAAAAATATTTAAGGTAAGGTGCACTGGAAATTGCAATAAGTTTTTGTTCTTCACCATGTCTGTTGCCCCTTGTTAGTATGCTTTACTGGGTGACCAGCTGCTAGTCCCACAGACTTAAATACAACAAGGTCAGTCTTTACTGGATAAAAATTGGATACATATTGATGCATATAGAAACAAAGTTATTTATTTCATTTCCTAAAATAAAAAAATCTGTAGAGATAGGCAAGGAAATGGAGGAAGTGCAAATATGGTTATGTAAAGTTGAATTGAAGTGTGAAACTACTGCCTGTTGCTGTCAAAGAGGACATAGAGGCTTATTTTTGATCTTAGTACTAAGTACCACAGTACCAATATTTGCAATGTCAGCTACAAAGATCATATGATGAGAAAGATCTGTTATCATATGACTTCTGGTGACTGACATGTTGGTGTGTTTTACTCAAAATGATCTTATTAGCCAAATTCAAAGGCCTGGTGGGATTAATTAGACCTGAGGGCTAAAGGTTCTCCTGCTGTACTAAGCCATATTTTAGCATTTGGCTTGCACACTTTTGAGATGTGCTACAAGGAGGTGTTTGGAAGTGTTTACTTGTTTAGATTGACTGCAACTTGCCATGTCTAAACATGGTCCAACTGGCTTAATCTTTCCTATAGTTAGCTAAAATGAGCCTGCTTCAAACCATGTTTTTTAAAGCTGCTTTATTTCAGTTAACCATAGTCAAGATTAACCACAGTTTAGGGTTCAGGCAACTTGTAAACTGGTTAATATAAAATGAAAGAACTTGCTGATTTCATGACTGAATAGCTGTGCAGTGTGATCCCAAGGGTTGCTCACTCAGCCTTATTATTGCAGTGCCGGCTATAGATAAGCATTGCATCTCAGCACAACCACTGACTGTCCTCCCAAGTCTCCTCTGTTTATGTGATGGTTCTTTTGGTGAATCCTACCACAACAGAGACCATGGGAGGAATTCAATGTCATAATCTTCTGATTGTTCTGTCAGTGCAAGCATTTCAGCTAGCCAGATGATATGGTTCTCCATCTCCCCCACCCTGCATACTGTTCTGGAGGTTATCCCAACCTCCAGAGCCAATTTTTTTTTTGGGGGGGGGATGTACTGGGGAGGAGAGGGTAAACACCCATTGTGTAAGCGTATGTCCTCATTAGGTGTATCCCGCCTGCTTTCTCATTTTTTAGCCCTGTATTAGCCAAATTCAACAGGATCTTTCCTTCCTAGTGGCATTCAGATAAGGTGTATGGTGAACATAAGGAATTGTTCTATAAAGGAAGTCTTTATCTAGCACTTAATCTCATTATAAACCAAAATAGCAAACTTGACTAGTTGTACACCAGTACATGGCTGTACATACTCTGTGTTTTAAAAGTGCAGAGTCTGCTCCATGAAAAGCTTAATTCTAGAAACTACAAAAGTTCATAAGCAAATATTTGTGTTTTGCATTACTTGTTCCATTTTAAACTGAAATAGTGAGAATTCTGAAATCTGCACCTGCATGGCACAGTTGTACATTAATGGCATACATGAGCCCTGTCTCCCTCTGCTGACTGTCTTTAGTTTTTGATGGTACTGTTAGTAATTTGATCTGTTCAGTGGTGAGCCTGTATGTTAGCACAATGATCAAAGAATGTTTTGAACAAACCTTGCCTTTATTAATTTGTTAATATGCTTTGTACCGATTTATCAGATAATTCTGAAGAAAGCAAAACGAGAGGAAAAAGACTTGCTTGCTAAATATACATGGCTAAACTAATTCACAGAAGTCAGTGGGTGTCTTTCTATCTAATTTGTTTTTAAGTTGTGTTCTGTGTCAATAACTTTTTTTGTTTAAGTATCTTTTTTTCTGTCAGAGGCTAAGCTTCTTCCTCATGACTTATAATTAGTAGTATCCCACTTAGCAATTGAATAAGCTCCTTGTTTTAACTTAGGTTTGTATTTTGGCCTTCTTCCAGAGAGCTGAGGCTGGAACTATGCTTGGCAGTAGTTCTAGGTCTGAGAAACCAGGTTGCTGCTTAGCTCTTGAAAAAATGGCAGTGGAGACTGAAATTTGGAAGAGGAAAGCAGCACCATGGCTTCTTAATCTCTAGCTAAGGTTTGCAGATGTGTTTGCCCCTTCCTTTGCCTGCTGCATTCCCTTGCCAAATCACACCTTTCTCCTGCCACACTTCAATCTGGCTACCCAGATTGTTCCCAGACTTGATCTGCTGCTGTACATTTAGTTCACAACCTGACAATATCTCTGTGAGGTAGGAGAAGTGTCCCCTTATGCAAGGTTATTTAGTGTGCTTCACAGCTGAGCAGGATTCAGTCCTTAGCTTCCCACTTTGAAACCCAGTTTTCCAAGCCACAAAAGCACAGGACATACAAGCATGCAGTGTCTGTTACTCCATACATTTTGCTAATATGAAAAAAATAAAATTTTAGATGTATGACTTCTTTTTCCTTCCTGTTACAGAATGGTGAACTAATTTATGGTTGTAAAGATAATGAGGACGCTCTCTCTGATTTGAATGAACTTGCTTGCCACCTGAAGCCTTTTTTCTTTCCTTCAAATGGCCTGGTCAATGGAACTCATTGTACACGGACAGTTCTGAAAGAATTAATCCATGTAATAACAATGGCTCTACTGAGTAGCACAGATGCCTGCAAAGCAGGTGATATGAAGACAGTTCCCTCCTCACAAGGAAGGAGTTTCTGTGAAGCTAGTGCTTTCAGTAAAGAAATAGCAAGAAATGGTAAGCAATTTCTGAGTTTCATCTGCCCTTCTAGAATTCAAATGATAAAATATTGTACAGCAAGATATGCATTGCTGTCAGTGTGGTTGCCACTGGGTTGAACTGTAAGTAATCTCTGTCTAATCTGGGTTTTCTGGCTTCCCAATAATGTACTTAGCTTTTAAATCAGAAAATCTGCTATGCTTCCGACCTTAATGCTTGTCAGGAAAGCATACTAGTATGAGTCTAGATGTGCATATGCTTCCCCACTGTGTCTGCATAATATACATAAAAGTATGTGAATCAATCAATTACTTTAGTAATCATTTTTCAGAATGCATTGATAAAATGATTATCTACACTGTAATTTTCAAGTTGTCTATTTGCTGCAAAGCCCCGTGTGTTTCACATGTATATTGCAGAGTTTTCAAGAGATTTTTCAGTGTAGAAAGCGCAAAGCTAATTCTGGGCATCCCACTTCTTCAGACTTGTAGAACTTGCATATTTTGTTTCTCTAGGCCTATGCTGTTGCTTTTAGAGCTGTAGTTAATAGAATATTTCAGCAGCTTCTGTACTTCCCCTCCTTGCCACGGACTGCTTGAAAATTGATGAGGGCGGGATTCAACTAATGAGTCCTGACAGCAGAAGCCCGTGCAAGAACTTCTGCTTGTGCATTGGGGCTTCCTCCCACTGTGCCTCCCTAAATTATCTCATGAGGGTGTACGAAAACCTCCAGAACAGCATGTGGTGGGAGATAAGGAGTACTTGCCCTAATGAAACAATCAACATAGTGCAACATTGAAATGTTGAGAAATAAAAGTGGCAATAAAAACACAATTAAAAATCAATATGAATACTGAATGGACTGTACGTGCTGTTCACAATTGCTGCTCCTGCTGTTCTTCATGGCCACACTTGTAGACCACCTGAATGAAGCTTGCAGACCACTGATGGTCTGTGGACCATAGTTTGGGAACCCCCGGAATATGGCATTAAAAATCTACACTGTGTAAAATGTGCCTTTTATACAAAACTTAGATTTGCAAAGATGTGCATGATTAAAAATCAATTAAATCAGTTTGGTGAAATTTTTCTTCTGAATAACTTGAGGGTGGGGAACTGGGTATTTTCAAAATGTGCTAAGATAATATTTCTTCTTAGGATTGACTCTCAAATATTGTACAACTTGAGGCCTTGACATTTAAAAATGTATGCCATTTGCATTAGCATATCACCATAAATCTTCCCTCAATATTGGGAGCAGTAAAGGACTTATATTTCTCTGTTGTTTTGAAAATGTCCTTTCTAACTAGAGCTGAACACTGAATTACAGTACCTCATTGTTTCCTTTTTTGAACTGGGGGTACAAAACTGGCTTTTGTTTTGAAATACTTAAATTGGGCATGGTTAATCTCCCCTGCTCCATAACTTTGCTTTTGTTAGTTGTGAGCAGAGAGGTTTGTATATATATTTTTGTCAAACCAGTTTTGAAAACATACTTTCCTTTCAGGCAAAAATAAAATGGAGACCTCTGGCTTGCCCAAAGAATGTCTCCTCTACAAAACACTCCAGGCTCAGATGCTGGATATGCTGGATATTGAGGGTGTATATCCTTTGTACAACAGAGTGGAGCAATACTTGGAAGAGTTTCCCAAAGAGAGGTAAGATTTCATGGCACCAGTTTCTAACTTGTCAAGTGGAATGGAGTAGAGCTTAGTGAAGCTCACTGAGCAATGTGGAAGATTGTCCTCAAAGGCTCATTAAGGTTTCTTTAAAACTCGGAGGGCCTGTTCAGCTATTCAAGGATTATCTTAACCATGATACTGGGGATTAGGGCTTGCGGGAAGCTGCTGCATTTATTTGACCCTTCAGATCTACCAGTTTAAGAAAACAATGATGTCATTCTATGTACAGCTCTGAGTCGTAATATACAGCTTAGCTTAGCGTCTTGAGTAAAGAAGGTGGTCTGTAATATTACAACCTCTGCATAAATCCAGAAGTTATACTGCAGAAATTACCCACAGTTCACTGACCCAAATGCCACACTACCAATATTGTTGGCAACTGCCCTTCTTTCATACCACATTGGATAAAGGACTCCTGTCACAAAATAGCTTTTTTGACAGTTCTTGTTCTTATTTACACAGCTTTTCTTTAACACAATAATAGTTATTCACTTTCTGTGTTGGGAAAAGAAAGACAGTAATGGGCTGGTTCTCATAAAATGCACACTCCTCCTCTGTTGAGAAGAGGATCTACCAACAATATTGCAGTGTGGCATTTGAGTTAGTGAAATATGGATTATTTCTGCAGTTCTGGAATATAACATTTGGACTGATGCAGAGGTTGTAATATTCTTTTCTGCCAATATTACTTTTGGTTTCAAAGAATATAACATATAACATAGTGTTATATGTGAACCAGGAGTCCTGGTTTAAAACAAACAATGGTATCTGATAAACAAGCAAACTTCAAACTGTGGATGGCGTTTTCAACTAACCATTGCTTATTTTAAACCAGGATTCCTGGTTCACACAACACTAAGCTCAGTTTCTTCGAACCTGAAATTGAACTCAGTGGAAGTGGACATTGTTCAGGTTCACCCACACAGCACTACATGCAGGGGTGGGGGAACCTGTCTGCTTCCAGACAACTCCCATTATCCCCTGGCCATTGGCCACGTTGGCTTGGGGTGATGGGAGTTGGAAGTTGAACATCATCTGGAGTGCCATAGGTTCCTCACCTCTGGGGACTAAACCAAGGTTTAATGTTAAGTGCAAGCCAGTGGATTCTGCTCACATTAGGAATGAAAGAGAGAGACTTCTGCATTGTTAGAGACTTGCTTTGTTAGGGACTTGCTTCTTTCTAAGTCAGTGTAGACCCAAAAAACAAGAGTGTTGCTAAGTATTTATATACTGAATTTCTTATTTCAAAAAGTACACACAATGCATGAACTTTAGAGAAATGGACTGACAAGTTGGTGTGGACTATGAAGAGCATCTTGCAGCAGTACAAAAACACTTTAAAATGGACATGACAGACTAGACGGAACCCTGAACAAAAGCACTTTGCTCTGCAACATTTTTATTTCAGGTTCTATTTCAAAAACAAAAGACTAGAATGTTACTTTGGAGATAGATGCCTTGTTTTTGCAATATTAGTTCCATGGCTCATCTCTTGTGATTTTAGACAAAGGTCACTAGAGGGTGCAACAGCCTCACTTGTTAAAAACACTTTTTTTTTTGAGCAGCTAGATGTACGGTAAGAAAACAGCAGCGGAAACAAATTTGGTGCAATTGTTTAATGACACACAAATATAGTATAATCTGCAATACAGTTATGTAATTCTAGTTTTTGACCTGTTCTCTAATTGGTTTCCTCCCCTGTTTTTTAAGGAATGTGTTACAGATAGATGGGCCTTATAATGAATCATTCTATGAGAAGCTACTAGATATCTCAACTGAAGATGATGGAACAGTAGCATATGCACTGACAAAGGCAAGGATCCGAAGTTCCTTCTTATTAATTATTAGTAGATGTCATTTTCAGATAATTATTATACTCACATATGTTCTGAACAATTGCTGAAGACAGAGAGGCTAGGGCCTAGCATAGCAGAAGATCTACATCTAAGTCCTAATGTCAGCTTCTCTGTTGGGAGGCAGGGGAAGATGGGGTTCCTGCTGCAGGCAGTAGTACCTGGTACCAACTACCCTGTGAAGAAGATACAAGGAGACAGACACCAGATGCCTGCTCCAGACGCATTCATTTAGTTTGGCTTTTTACATATGAATTTGCATTTCATAAATGTTGTAAGCTGTTCTGAGGACTCCAGTCGAAAAGGAGGGTATACATCTAGTAAATAAATACAATTCTGAACATAAGGGCAATGTAGGAAAGTTGTGATATGCCAGATTAGGCTGTTTGTCCATCTATTCCATTGCAGTCTCATCTGACTGGAGATAGTATTAGGCAGGAGTCTTCCCTGTTATCTGCTACCTTATTCCTTTTATTGAAGATGCCAGGAAATGAAGCTGCATCTTTCAGTATGCATAGCATGTGGTCTACCACCAAGTTAGGATCTTTCTAGACTGAACATAGCTTCAGCCTGGTAGTGAGAAGGAACATCTCTTTGGAAGCCTCTTTATGAGGCCTCCCTCTCCAGGACTTAGGATGATCCGAGGAAGCAGGTACTTGTGAAATGTAGTTCCCAAGGCATCTGTGCCCATGCTTTGAACTAGAATTCCAAGGCCTTCTGATGGGTAAGGTGTAGTGGTAGCGTTCCAGGTACCAGACAATGATTCACTTGTTCAGATAACAGTCCAAACTGGAGGAAAACTTCTGAGACAAATCATGCTTAGTTTATAATACAGATGAGGTAAGTACAATTTTTGGTGACACCACTAATTACTATGCAGATTTTGCTAATGGTACCATATATTAAGACCAGCTTTGCATGGAAGGCATTGCCTTACTTTGAACCAATTTTAAGTATCCCCCCCTTAATGCACTCCCAATTCAGTTTGTATTAGCAATACAAGTCCTTTGCCTCTGTACACCTGGTCAAAGGGAACAGGAAATGGTTTCTTTCTTTTAGTAAGTAAAATGCTGGTGTTAATAGCCACCACCCAATCATTTCACTCTGCATTAGAAGTGGAACAGGGCTTCATCTGACCTTGCCACGTATTCGGGCTGATGCGATTGACGCAACCTGAGTGCTTTCTCCCACATTGCCCCTGGAACCAATGAAGCCATCCACCTATGCTTGAATTCTTTATGTGCTTACGTGACTCAGAAGTGATGGATCACAGCATCATTTGTGTGCTATATACATAGAGACTAACATTCTAATTGGACACTCCTGTGGCAGGAAATGGAAGGCAATTTTGAGCAATCCCCCACACTACCCCTGCCGTCTCTGCACTACCTCTCACATTGTTCCAGGGAATACTCTGACTCTCCATTCAGCACTACCTGCACTACCTCTCACATTGTTCCAGGGAATACTCTTTCATTCAGCATAGGATGCTGCAGGTGGGAGGAATTGGTGTCAAAAATTGCCCCCTTCCCCTTGTGTCAGTGGGAGCCTCCAGTTAGCAAAGTTCGGCCAAAGCTAAGTCTGGAGCCGGCACATGTTAAAGCTCTAATAAGGCTCCAGGTGTAAGTACTGCTTTAATTTTTTTTGTTTTATGACTTGGTTTTATTAGCAACTTTGAGGAAAAGTGGTGTATTAATGTTGAGAATAAAATTGTCTGCTAAATGTGTTGGCTGATATTTCTCTGCTGGTTACTAGTGTTGTAGGCTCCAACATGTGGCTCAGTAGAACAGAGGTAGGGTTGTAATGTTGTCGATTAATTGGTTACTTGACTACTTGGAGTGCAGTGAAATATTCCATGAAGTCAATGTACTTATACCCGTGTGGCCTACCAGTGGCATAATTTGACAACAGCATGAATACAATCTGATTTCTGCTTGATAAATTCCCAAACATATATAAATGTACAGGATTGTGTAGAGGAACATAAGACCAATTCATGTGGGTAAGGGGCAGCCTCTGGCATCCATGCAGAGTTGGTGTCTGACCAGGGGAAGGCTTGCATGCATAGGTCTCTCTATATGTATATGTTTCCATGCAGACTGCATGGAAGCCTACACATCGGCTTCATTGGCTTAATGTATGGATATAGGGCTAGGGCCAGCAGCATGCCCTGCTTCCTAATAACTACAGTGGTACCTCGGGTTAAGTACTTAATTCGTTCTGGAGGTCTGTTCTTAACCTGAAACTGTTCTTAACCTGAAGCACCACTTTAGCTAATGGGGCCTCCTGCTGCTGCTGTGCCGCCGCCACACGATTTCTGTTCTCAACCTGAAGCAAAGTTCTTAACCTGAGGTAATATTTCTGGGTTAGCGGAGTCTGTAACCTGAAGCGTATGTAACCCGAACTACCACTGTACTTAGATTCCTCTTCCTTGATTAATACAAGAAAGGGACTCTCTCATGCCCCAGATAATATATGGGTACAATCAACAGTGGCCAGCAGCTATTTCTGTTATCGTATCAACTGGCAAAATGGAAATGGGGGCAGACCCTTGCAGTATTTATCAATGTGTACAGGAGGTCAAGATTTATACTATTGTTTTGCCACACAATATCTTACACAGGGGCAATTGTGTGGCAGACATAAGAGGCTGGCTTGCATTTGTGATTGGCTGAGTTAGCATTATAATTCTTAAGTAATTGTCTGTTAGATGAGTCCTGTCTTAATTTTGTTGCAGGTTCAGCAGTACAGAGTTGCAATGACAGCAAAGGACTGCTCCATTATGATTGCCCTCTCTCCTTGTCAGCAGGATGAATGGTAAGATGATCTAGAATGTTATGCATGCTTCTTGGAGGTTCTCTGTCTGCACTCTTCAGAATGATCGGTATACATTGAAGTTAATGCTGCTTTGGTTCAAATTTTATTGTCCATTGATCATAATTGAAGCTCCAAACCCCATTCAACTAAAAGCATGCAAAAGTGATGATGCCTATGACAGCCTTTATTGAAAACCTAGTAATCTATTTTTTAGATGTCTTAATAGTACACATAGCTTGGTCAAGAGGTTCGTGACATATTAGAATGCTTGGGGTGACACCCATATGTACTGGCCGATGGGCACTTCTTCCCTTGCGGGGAACTCCTTCATTTTGCCCCTTGCTCTGTCAGCATTGGCCAGTCATTGATAAATATGTCTGCTACATTCTCACTCACTTTGCAAAGTTCTGAATGTCTCTAGAAAGGCTCTGGTTTTAATTTAAAATATAATTATGGCAGTTACATTGAAATTTATATATATTTTCAGTTAGGGAAACAGTTAAAACATATAAATAGGGGTTCTTCTGGAAAACCTTGTGTGCACATCTACCAACCACTTAAAGAACTTTACTCAACTAAAATTTACCAGCATAGCTTCTGCTCCCTGCTCCTATGCCAGTAAGGGAATAATGGAAAGTCTTTGTCCCATGAGGATGGGAGTCTCATATTGTGATTAGCAACTGCACAGATGATGCACCTTCCAAGGGACTAGCCATTAATGCTGGTTTCTATCTGCAGTGTCAGGGGCACATAAATGAATGGAATACTTGACACATTCCTGTACTGGTATGGTAACACCAGAATGAATGACTTTACTTACCAGGGAATCTTAGAGAAATGCCTCATGGGACCACAGCTATATCATTTACATATCAGAACAAAATTTGTGTAACAGGACAGACTGCTATATTAACTTCTATGCAGATCTTTATTTCTTCAGATTTAAGACCTAAATGTCTTGGTTTAGGGAAATGACTACTAATACTATATATTCTCCCTGTGTTATAACTGATGCAATATAATCTGGTAAAAATGGTGACTTAAATTTAAGTAAGCAGATTGCTAACATCTCAGTGCAGTTCATTTTTATGGCAGTGTTGGTGGTATAACAATTTAGGGATGCTTGGCATAAACTGAGGTGGAAAATGATCAACATGATCAACTAAATTTTCATTCCACCACATTTTGGACTGGAAAAGCTGTATCTTATTTAAGACCACAGCTACTTCAAAAATGCAGCATCAGCTGAAGCTGGTCATGATTAGGTAATGGGTAAACTTTTTCATGTGTAGAAGATTTTTAAAAGTCTATTAATGTCAGAATTTTTTCTTGGGGCAAGAAGTAACTTTTCTTTTTAAATTCAAACTACAGTGCAGTGCAGAGGCCACTGGTTTTAACTTCTAAATCAAGATTCACCTTTTCCGTCTCCGTCTTGGACCTAGACCTTAAGCCATATGAAAGCATTCACCATCAGTACAAACTTGATAGGAAGATAGTAAACTTCTATTTGAAGAACACACAGGCCAAAGACGACTCGGTGATGTCAAATCTCTTGAAAGAAAATGAAGACTGCACACTACTTCTCCATAAAATGTAACTGGCTAAATATTTATCAAACACAGAATGGGAATAATTAAGTTATGTTGGTTTTCTATTATTTTCAGTTGTGCTTTAAATTTATCTGCCTTTCAGAAACACAGAATACCACTCAGACTACCTTGAAGGAATGTATTTATGGTAAAAGAGTTAGACAGACATATGCACCCTACAAACCCTTAGTAAACTGGTTGCTGGGAAAGTAGTTAAGTTTGAATCAAATGACTACTGTATGAAGCAGAGAAGTGAGTATCTTGAATTTAATTCTTCAATGCAGGGAACCAGTGTTCCTATGAGGTTTGCAGATGAAACTTTGCAAACAATAGTATGTGAATTGCTGAATAGCACTTGCTCAAATTAATTGTAAAAGTGAACCAGCTCCTATTTAAAGTAGTTATTAAGCTGGAGAGTGGATATATGGTGCTGCCTAGGTTTTCAGCTTGAATCTTAATATTTTTTAGTCTTGTGACAAAATATGAGTTTGGTTGTTTCCAAAAATGGTATTGTAGTGGCCATTCTAAAAAAGCGATTGGAACACATTTGAGTAAACTTACAAAACAAAGGAAACTTAATGATATAGAGAAAAACAGCCTTATCAAACTAAACCAGCTCTTCCTTACTCAAATAGGTGTTGCTTTTAAAAGTTCACTAGAACGATTTAATTATGAAGCTCTTTCAAATGGTCCAGTGTTAACACAATTACATTCAATTGTCCCCCCGCCCCCCGATATTCTTAACTCCATGTAAAATAACTATACATGTGCCTCATTTATATACAGAAACCTTCCAGTAAAGCAAGCCATCCTGTGTTTTGCTGCTGTGGGAAGCATTTGTGAAGTCTAAAACAGTGGCTTTATTATCCCTGCCCATGAGTGATAAGTTTTGTACTTAATATTTTGTTGATTTCCCCCTTCTACATTAAACACCTGCAACTCTCCCAGAGCTGGGTAAAATAAAGTCATTGCTAATTGAGATGTTCCTCAAAGTGAACTATGAATTAGAAACTTACCTCACATTAGTTATTAGTTAGCAAGGAGCATTTTCTCTAGAAGTGCCTGTGCATGATTATTACTGTCTCTTGCCCTATCTTGCATACAGATAATAGGATATATGCCTCAGGTTTGGCAGGCTGCAGGGCTCATCTGCTCAGACTCTTTTCCCACTGTGCTGTGCAATGGCAATAGGCTTCTCTTATTGTATAGGAATATTACTGTTCTTATTCTGGCTGTGTGACTTGAGCCTCTGAATTCAAAATGCTGGAAAGGCAAGTCATGTCATGGGCTTTTTGTAGAACAGGAGAAACTTTCATAGGGGTTGCCTGGTGGCAAGATACTTGAAGTGGGTGAAGGCTATCTGTGAGAAACCCAGATTTTAAGCTGCTTTAGCCATTCAAAAATTAGTATCTGTATTTAACTGTAGACATTTATGTTCTAACTGACATTTTGTGTGTGTCATCAGTGATCCAGTTTATTCATTGTTTTTAAGGTACAGTATCTATCCCTAAAAATCTGCAAGAATACGCTTGCCATTACCAATTAAGCTGCTACAGTTAACATTAAATATAATGGTAACATTTCAAAACTTGTATAATTTGAATACTTGTTCTCATCTTACACAGAACATAATTTTGTTAGTGTCTCTAGTCATTCCCATTACTTCTAAAAACTGTCTTGTGATAGCTGTACAGCTTAATTATGAGATGTGGTTATATAGAGGTTACAGACCTCAATTCACAGGATGTCAAGGAGCCCAACTGCAGGTTAAGGCATTTATCTAGAATAAGACTTATAACTAGGTTGAAGTTAGTAAACTGCTATGCCTAATGATTGGTTACAATCAGTACTTAAATTTGTTAGCTGACTGAAGTGTCAGGTAATATCTTATATCAGGTTTCCTCTTGGTATGTAAAGGTTCTGCAAGGAAGACTGTCATTCCCATATTCCGAAGCAATAAGCAAAACAAGGCAATGGCACAAATAGATGTGCAGCAAAGCTTATTTGATTTTGCATATTCTGGTCAGAACTAACTGATCAGAAGTAGGTAAAATTCTACATTTATAATCTAGGGCCAGGGTGAATTAAATTGCTGTTTAAGGTGTTTGCTTGAGGACTAGGTTTCCACCTTTTGAGAACAGCTACAAAGCTTGCTTTTACGCAAATACTGTTGCGGCACTCAAAAAGAGCAGGGAGACCTTTGAAATGGTTGCGCTACTTAACTTGGAAAGCAAAAAACAGCAAGAACATGGGATAAGTTGTATGTGGGTCAATGATCTTGACCTTGCTATTTTCATTATAAGCAATCCTCGGACTAAAAATAAATAGGTTACATTTTGTAAATTATAGCTATGCCTTCTGATCCATTGTAAATTAAAATTTCACAATTCTATTTTATGAAAGGTTTGATAAACCTGGTTTTGCCTTTAATCACTGATTGCGGAAAGAAGTAGTTGCGATATTGAGTGAAGTGTTTTGCATCTTGAAACTTCCTTTCATTTAACTTTTCAGTGTCATTTCTAAGAATCTGTTACATATACAGCTGTGAACAGAAACTGTCACTTTTATAAACTTGAGTTTACCAGGTTGATCTGAAGAGGTTCTAGGAAATGCTGTGGAGGGGGGGGGGAAAGAAACCACTTCGATTCAGAAAGTTAACTTTTTAAAAATAAAATTCACTTATCTATTTGGCATTTTGTATTTAAAATGGCTGTATTTATTTGTCATGATGATTTATATATATATGTGCCATAATTGTACAGATAGCATGTTTTATGGGTTTGATTTCTAAATGAAAAATAACTTAATGTTTATATTCAATAAACTATAGATGCATATTTTATTGTCCTGGTATTCATTTATCATTGCAAAGTGACTTGATCAGTGTTTCAATGCATGCTTGTATTCCAAGCACATGTAGTAGACTTCTGAAGCAGTACGGAGCATCTGATGCAAACTTGTTAGCTTCCACCACTGTAAGAGGGGAAAAAAATGGCGTTAACAATTCACTTTAAATACTAATAATGACTTGAAATGGTCTAGCATTACAATTTTGAATGAGGTTCAGAATTTATGCATTCATCTGTATTTAGGAAAAAAATACTTCCCAGCTCACAGAAGACCAACGCTAGCCAGCAGAACTGTACAAAGTCTTTATTGAAGTTTAGTTCCCATTTTCAAACCCTAGCGTGCGTCTCTACGTCTAGACCTGACCGAAGCCTCGTCTGAGTCTCCGCCCCCTGTACACAGTTTTGAAGACTCTAGCCTTACTCCACCTTCTCGTTTCTCCTCCGCCTCTGGGTCCTACTACCCCCCTGGGTGCCTTCCTTTCTGGACGCCATCAGAAACGCCGGACCCTTCCGGACTCCTCCCCTCTCCTTCGGCGGGCTTGGGACCCGGCCCCCTCTCCGGGCTTGCTCATTGCGCCACCCTTCCCCTGTTACATTTGAACTTGGCGCGCGCAGCCGAGACGCCTGCCCCTTGACTTTCCTTTGACCGTTTCCTTCGCTCTCTGATGCATGGCCGTGGGCACCCTGACTCATGTCCCTCCGCTGTACGGAACGCTGCCTGCTGGCCGGGATGCTTGGGACTCCTCCCCCTTACTGCTCTCCGGTGGGGAAGCTGGTCCCGATTTCCAGCTGCTGCTCTCTGAGTCCCCTCTGGCCCCTCCTTCCTGGGGTGTTCCCTCTGGCAACCCCCTAGCTCTGACCACGGGAGCCCCTTTCTGTGAATCCTCTGATTCGCTGGAGAGACTTAGAGACCTCGGCAGTATACAACCCATTTCTACCTGTGTCATTAGGATAACTAATAGGATGCATGCCATATCATAATTATCTAATTATAACTTGCCAACTGTTGCAAAACATTTAATAATTTATAATTTGTATTGCCTCTGTGGCTTTGCCAAACTGCCTAAGGAGCAACACTGCCAGAATTTTCACAGAAGAAAAAGGAAAATGAGGTGTTGAAGACAGGAAATCTTGGGCATCTGGCTAAAGAAAATGGCACAGTGGCTGAAAATCAGTGGCAGGTCTAAAGAAACTTAGTGGAGAAAAGATGGCCTCCCTGTCCCTTCCACTTCTCTTCCATCATTTCCTCACTCCAATGGGGATGAACGAAACCCATCCCCCCCACTGATCTACATGGGCTGTGGGTGCGTGTTCTTGCTTTAGTAATTAGGTCAGTTACTTTTTTGATATAAATAATAAATGTATAATGGAAATTGCAAATATTAATAGCCAAGTTGTAATAAGAGGGCAGCCATAAACTCTTGAAATGTGTGTTCATTGTTTGCCATCTCTGAAATTTCTTGTCAGATTGGCTAGTCTCTGTGTCATAGAGATCCACTCCTTCAATACAGGAGATTTATAATTAATATTTTTGCTCTTCTGGGTAAAACAAACTTGATGTTTAGTTCATACTACCAATAACAACTACCTGACATTCAGAAGACATCTTAAGGCAGCCCTGTTCAGGGAAGTTTTTAATGTATGATATTTTAGTGGGGTTTTTGGTTTCTATGGAAGCCGCCCAGAGTGGCTGGGGAAACCCAGCCAGATGGGCGGGGTACAAATAATAAATTATTATTATTATTATTATTATTATTATTATTCAAGCATTTCTAAATTTGGGCACAATTCAACCAAATTATGGAGAAAATCAGCTATTGGTTGAAAGTAGTTAAACCCTGTAGGTCTTGGATTACTGTTTATGTAGGAGGTTTGGCAAGATGAAGATAGCCTACACTGAGTGAATTGAAAACCTGCAGCCCAGTATCTCCCCCTCCCCCCATTAGTTGTAAGTTGATAGGTAATGAATGGGACAATTATCCTTTACAATTCTTTACTAAAAATCAGACTTTCAAAAGGGGTTTCAGGTCCCCAGCCTTGCATTCTCAGTTGAAAATACTGAAACACAAGTAAACTGGTTATTTGGTGGCTTAAAGAATTTCCTTCTTGGACTACCTCTCTAAACTGTGTTATTATAGTGGATCCAGTGGAGATTACTCCCCTTAAACAAGAAAGTCACAAATGAAGCAGTAGTCAAGGCTTCATGCCTTCTACTATCACAGCTGTCTTTTGATCTGATAGCCTTCAGGGAATAACAAGGGCCAAGAAGCAGGAGGAAAGTAGCTGAACATCACATACCAATTGAACTAGCCAGCAAAGTCTTTGTAGGCATTTAATAAACAGATGTGGATTTTGTTGAACTACATATTATATGCAAGTGTGACATACGAAACTCATTGGGGGCTTCATTAAACTAAATTGAGCTAACCTCAGCAAGCGGCAGCTTGGGGCAGAGAAGCAAGAAGTGTAAGTGTGTGTGTGTGTGTGTGTGTGTGTGTTACTAATCATCATTGTCTCCAAGATGCTTTTTCTTTGCAGAGAAAAGGCCAAATACAGTGGTGCCTCGCAAGACGAAATTAATCCGTTCTGCGAGTCTCTTCGTCTTGCGGTTTTTTTGTCTTGCGAAGCACGGCTATTAGCGGCTTAGCGGCTATTAACAGCTTAGCGGCTTAAAGAAAAAGGAAACAAACTCGCAAGAACTCGCAAGATGTTTCGTCTTGCGAAGCAAGCCCATAGGGAAATTCGTCTTGCGGAACAACTCAAAAAACGGAAAACCCTTTCGTCTAGCGAGTTTTTCGTCTTGCGGGGCACCACTGTAAGTTGCTTTCTATTTAAAACAAAGCGAACGAGGACTTTATTATTGTTATTAATATGTATTGTGTAGTTTGTCTTAAGTGCTGCCAAAAGAATACTGTTATCAAGACAATGAATGTTTTGCAGGATGTACTTTCAGGAATGCAAAGCAAGAAGGCTTTCAGAGAGAGAATGAAGCTGGAATTAAATGGTTGGAACAAGGGAAGAAATACTTTATACAGTACTGTGTAAGCATACCTGACATTGGTATTTTGTGGAGGAGATCCAAGACTGGTGTAACTTTTCCTTCTTCATCTACATATATCTTCCAAACAATCATTAACTCAAGTCTATAAAAGGCAAATGATATTAAATGCCAGAGCTTCAGAGGTCAAATTCTGTATTGCAAAAAACTGTGCAGTTAGCAAATACACACTACTAGGTGTATACCTGCTACTGCAGAATTTCTGATGCTTAGGAAGAATATTATTTTTGCTGTTAAGTCTTCTTCAGCCTTTTCTCTTCAGGCTGCTGCTTTCAGGGGCAGGAAAACCCTACAGTTAACCCTTCAAGAGACGTGCTTGGTACCAATTGCGTAGTTGCTAAACACACTTTTGTACACCAGGACTACCACCTCTGCCAGATCCTAAGGCACATTAATGCTGGGCAAGGTCAGTTGCAATGATAGCAATTTCCTGTTCGAAGACTTACCTATTGCAATTTATTCAGGTAAAGGAAGGTTGGCTCATAGGAGAAGTGCACTATGAAATATGGAAGGGCACTTACAATGACTGTGTTGTCAAAGTAATGAAGGGTGCCTACTTTCTGGTACTAGACTTTAATCATGGCCTTGAGGCCTTTATAAGAAATGCTAGAAACTGTAAATCCACTTTGAGGATTTCAACATTTTTTTAGCTAAGACTATGAACCAAATCGGGGACGTGGGTGGCGCTGTGGGTAAAAGCCTCAGCGCCTAGGGCTTGCCGATCGAAAGGTCGGCGGTTCGAATCCCCGTGGCGGGGTGCGCTCCCGTTGCTCGGTCCCAGCGCCTGCCAACCTAGCAGTTCGAAAGCACCCCCGGGTGCAAGTAGATAAATAGCGGGAAGGTAAACGGCGTTTCCGTGTGCGGCTCTGGCTTGCCAGAGCAGCGATGTCACGCTGGCCACGTGACCCGGAAGTGTCTCCGGACAGCGCTGGCCCCCGGCCTCTTGAGTGAGATGGGCGCACAACCCTAGAGTCTGTCAAGACTGGCCTGTACGGGCAGGGGTACCTTTACCTTTTACCTTTATGAACCAAATCATTAATTTACTTTCAAATGCTGACTCCACCTGAAGCAGGTAAAGTTATGAAACTCACCTTAGTTTGCATTTTGAAGCAATGCATTTCACAGATTCTAAAGAGATTTCATTTTGAGAAATCTTTCCTGCTAAAATATGTGTTCCTGCTCAATCAATATTTCTATTGGCATCAGTTTCAAATACAGCATATTGTGCCAACATGTTTCAATACTGTGAACCTTTGAAAAGCTACCACCACTTTCCCATTATGTCAGTTTCAATGCAGTTGCTGCCTTGGCCTCCTTTAGAAGGAAGGAAAGGCTGTAAATAGAATAAATAGACGAATTCCACTTATAATTTATAACTATGACCATTCATCAACAACTTTAATGTGTATCATAAAGCTTCCTTACCCAGGAAGGTTAGCATTTCTTAAGATCATGTAATCTCCAGATGATCCTTCAGGAAGTACTACAACATCAGGATACTTGTTCTATTAAATGTAAAAAAAGAACAATACTATAGCCAGTCTGTAAAGATATTAATAGGTACAATCCTCCTGATAAGCCAAATATTAGTTATAGCCTGCCCCCTCCCCCACCGAAGTATACATGAATTGAGATTCAGTATGAAGTAATATTGAGTAGACTCTGGGCACTGATGATGAACCAACAATTGTGATTTTCAGATAATTATTATACTTGCATATGTTCTGAACAATTGCTGAAGACAGAGAGGCTAGGGCCTAGCATAGCAGAAGATCTACATCTAAGTCCTAATGCCAGCTTCTCTGTTGGGAGGCAGGGGAAGATGGGGTTCCTGCTGCAGGCGGCCTCCCTGCCTTCCAGGCCACCTATTACCAACTGCCCTGTGAGAAGATGCAAGGAGGAGAAAGACACCAGATACCTGCTCCAGATGCACTCATTTTCTTTGGTTTTTACATATCAATTTGCATTTCATAAAAGTTGTAAGCTGTTCTGAGGACTCCAGTCGAAAAGGAGGGTATACATCTAGTAAATAAATACAATTCTGAACATAAGGGCAATGTAGGAAAGTTGTGATATGGCAGATTAGGCTGTTTGTCCATCTATTCCATTACTGTCTCATCTGACCGGTGGTTTATCTCCAGAGTATCAGGCAGGAGTCTTCCCTGTTATCTGCTACCTTATTCCTTTTATTGAAGATGCCAGGAAATGAACCTGCATCTTTCAGTATGCATAGCATGTGGTCTACCACCAAGTTATAATCTTTCTAGACTTGAACATAGATTCAGCCTGGTAGTGAGAAGGAACATCTCTTTGGAAGCCTCTTTATGAGGCCTCCCTCTCCAGGACTTAGGATGATCTGAGGCAGCAGGTACTTGTGAAATATAGTTCTCCAAGGCATCTGTGCCCATGCTTTGAACTAGAATTCCAAGGCCTTCTGATGGGTAAGGTGTAGTGTGCACAGATGATGATCCAACAATTGTGATTGCACAAAAGAGCACTTGAAGAAAAATTATTATGGGCTGGACATAATGAGACAACGTGATTTTTTTGCCAGTGCCTCGTGCAACCCTCTAGTATGGCCTCCCCAAAACCCTCTGTAGCAGGTTTTAGTTGGGCATTGGGGGCTGTAGGGAAATTGGCAAAAATGGCCTCCCCACTTTTCCTCCAACAGAATTGTTCAGTTAGTGGATTTCCACTCTCACCAAGTCTGGATTTAACTATATAAAAACAACTATCTGACTTTAAGAAGACATCTGAAGGCAGCCCTGTTTAGGGAAGTTTTTAATGTTTGATGTTGTCACTTTTTTATTAATATTCTGTTGGGAGCTGCCCAGAGTGGGTGGGGTATGTATGTATATATAAATAAATAAATATTACCATACACCCACATTCACTGGGAAAAAACGTCCAAGTACAGCAGACTGTTTCTGTTATGATAAAAAAAACATTTCCATTATTCTTTATTTTGTGTCCAAGTAAGAGGAAGCAAATACTTCTACAGGGAACTTTATATGAGTGTCATGAAAAGAATTCTCATATAATTACTTGTATGTGTATTAGATCACTTTCAGTTTACCATGCTTGCAGAGAACTTTTGCATCCTTTTTTTTTACACTGTACAGTACTTGGATTTATATCCTGATCATATAAACAAATATAAACAAACAAACAAACAAACAAACAAACAAACTGAAGTGATCACTGGAGCTATTATTCCTGAGTAACTGCTGCATTAATAAGCATGATCTAAGCCAGTGTTTCCCAACCGGTGTTCTGCGGCACACGAGTGTGCCGTGAGACGTTGCCTCGTGTGCCGCGAGATGCCTGGAGGGAGGCGGGCGAGTCGGGCGGCGAGAGGCGGGGCGGCGGCGGCGAGGAGAGGCCGCGCCTCCTGCTGCTGCCTGGCACTCCTCCTCGCAGCCGGCAGCGCTGCCTGGGCGCCTCCGCGCGACTCTGCCTCGCTGGGTTTGGTCTCCCAGCAGAGACGGGTCACACGCGCCCCTCCCTCCCTCCCTCAGCCTGCGCGGAGGGAGAGCCAGAGAGAGGCATCGCTCCTGCGCGGCGGGAGAGGGAGCAGCCGGAGCGATGCCCCAAACGAACGCATGGGACCGGAGGGGAAATCCTCTCCGAGGCGGATTGAGCGCAGCTGAGAGAAGCCTTTCGAGGAGCTGCCGTGTCCCCTGGAAACCCCCTTCCCAGCTCTGCCTCAGCCGCCGCCGCCTCAGTTGCCGCCGTCCCTCAGTCCCTCGCTCTGCTGCCTCCTCCCACCCCCAAAGCTTGGAGGTTCCCCAGCAAGGGGGAGGGAAAAAACTTTCACTTTTGTGCGTCCCTCCCGGCGTGACGCTGCGCGCTGACGTCACGGGGCGGGGCTTTAATGGTGGTGTGCCGCGAGATTTTTTTTCAGTAAACAGGTGTGCCGTTGCCCAAAAACGTTTGGGAAACACTGATCTAAGCTGAAGATCCTCAAATTGCTATGATTTGTTTACAAAAAACCAACCCACATTACAAACTTACAAACAAACATACATACATACAAACAAACAAACAAACAAACCACTTTCTTCCTGCTTGATATTTGGCTGGTTTACAGAGTAAGAAATCTTGTGAAATGTGAAAAGAAACTAGTTTAAATTAGTTTACACAGATCAAAGCAGGAAGAGAATAAATGGTAGTGATAAAGGGTCAGGATGTTTCTTTGAAGTGCACTGGAGACAAATCATTTTTGCAAGATCCTATCTACATCTGGCAAACAGAAATGGCAACCACATGCTCCCTTTTATTGTTGCTTGGGAATACAATACATTAAACTGCAATCTCAGTGTAATGTGCGGACCTTGCTGCTGGAATCCATATGAACAAGAAAAACAAAAGATCTTGCACTGTACTGAGTAGTGACAAGAGATTTATTACAGAAAAGGCAGATAATTAGTATGGTATTTTACTACAGTGAGAAAAGCATGGAATATTATGATGCAAAATTATGATGCTCAGTACCTAGGCCCAGGGAAGTCCACCCTACCCCTTCCTAATGAAACACAGCAAACTGCAGTATGCATATGATTTTGTGACATATTCAAATTGTGGTTACCTAAGTCAGGAGATTTGGGTCATGATCTAGAAGTGTTTAGGTACTGGACTTTTCCAGTACATGAGGAGTTTCCTCCTCGGGCAGAGTCTTCTATAGAACCCCCAGTGTTTGGAATTTGCTTACAGAAACTTCCACTGATAATGCAGACTATTTTTGCAAAGGCTGTAGGCAAATAAAATGCTAGACTTCCTCAAACAATGAATATAAAAAGAAGGGTTTTCTCAAATGTTTTCCAACCGTAACTTGAATGGTCAGCAACTGAGCTGGCAAAGGAAGGTGAAGAGCAGACAAAGAAAGGGAACCCACAACAACCCACAATGGTTTTCTCATGGTTATTTTCAGAAACCTTATTCCAGTACGGAACAAACTGGATGGTTAAAGAAAAGAACAAGGATCAAAGGAAGGAAAGAAGGGATAGCATTTTTCTTTGGCTGGTATCTCAGCTGAGGGCCTGTAGTCAACCACTGAAAAAGTCTTGCTGCATCAAGTCCTGCTGAACCAAGCTGTTTTTTAATCTTGTATTTTATTCTGTGAACTTCCCTGAGATCTTTTGATGAAGGGCTGTATATTTTTCCAACCGTGGCCCCCTTCAGACCTTGTTTCCTTCCTGTGTCCCCCCCAATGTTATCTGAGGTTCTACCGCCCTAACAAAAGCCTGCCCCCTAACGAAAATCCTGGCTACGTCCATGCCCCCTTCTAGTCCTACCGGTAGAAAGGAAGCTATTTAAATTTTTTCTTTGTAAATCATGACTGATAGCCACTGGTAGCCTTATCCTCCATGAATTTGTCTAAATTTCTTTTAAAGCCATTCAGGTTGATGTAAATCATATTATAGAACAAATTCCACAGTAACAGTGCACTGTATTTCCTGTTATCTGTCCTGAAACTTCCAATGTACAGCTTCACTGGATGACCTCAGCTTCTGCTATCATGAGAAACTGAAAACTTCTATGTACCATATTTTTCGCTCTATGAGACGCACCAGACCACAAGACGCACCTAGTTTTTGGAGGAGGAAAACAAGGAAAAAAATCTGAATCTCAGAAGCCAGAACAGCAAGAGGGATCGCTGAGCAGTGAAAGCAGCAATCCCTCTTGCTGTTCTGGCTTCTGGGATAGCTGCGCAGCCTGCATTTGCTCCATAAGACGCACACACATTTCCCCTTACTTTTTAGGAGGGAAAAAGTGAGTCTTATAGAGCAAAAAATACGGTTCTTTTTCACAGCATTCCTTTTTGTCTGTTTTCATTTCTTTTGTCAAAGTTTGTATTTCTTTTTATTCCCTACATTTAGACAAAACTTCTATTTTTCAAAGGAAGCCTTCTTGTGCCCAGATAGCTCCCTTTACTCTTTGTGGCCCTGGTCTGCAGTATACATTCTAGCTGAGTAGAGTATCTAGCAAGCATTTCAGGAAATTTGACCTGCTTCACTTTCCCTTTCAGCTTCCTTTTTACCAATCCCATTATTTTTGGGAAGCTTCCTTTTCTGAACTCAAAAGTTACTGGACTTCCTTGGCAATTTCCCCACATAAATATGTGTTGAATTTGATAGCACTGGGGTCATTATTAGTTTAATAGAACTTACATCTCACACCAAGTCCTGGGCATAAGCCATAAATAACTAAAACCTAGCTACAGCTTTCAGACATTGGTTACTTTGGATGATTTTTGCAACTTCAACTTGCTTGACATGTTCCTAAGACAAAGGAAATGGATTCCCCAACAAAAAGATCTAGAATATTCACAGGGCATTTTTCAACAGAGACAGAGATTCACATGTTGACAACCTCCATTCTTAGAAGTCCTGGATAAAAAAATATGATTGTGTTAGGATTTCCTCACAGGAATGGAAAAACTTTCATATCCAAGGTGAAAAGCAATCTCTCATCTTTGAATGTTTCTACACCTTTGGGAGATAAC